AAACAGTAAAAAATTCTAAATAAAACAGTAAATTAAGTTAACTAAAGCAATTTTACCAGAGATAAGTTAAATAAATACTTATTCTAACTATGCTGATGATTATTTCTGACCTATTTGGTAATAGGCGTACCATTGGGTTTCTTTCCAAATGTTACCTTAAAATTAACGAACTAATTACTGAATGAACTAATTGATGAATGAAATTGGAATTTATATAGAAATTAAAAATCAATTTTGTACCTACACGAGTGAAATAATTATAGACCCAGCAACCCATATTGAAATCAAGAGTAATATTTGTTAGTTATTTAGAGTATTGCATATAATTGATTTTTCTAATTGTCAACTTTTATGAAAAAATTATTGGTTATGTGAATTTTGCTACTTTTGCTACTTAAAATGGATTATAAAGTTAGATTTCCATGTGTTTGAAATTGGTAGTCGAAATTTTGTTAAAAGGACTTAAATATTAATTAAGTTTACTACTAATTGGATAATGCATTTATTCCCGTCAGATAAAAAGTTAATTCTGTCATTGAACTGATTTTGGCTGAATTTCATCTCTTACACTATTTCACTATAATGACAGAAATAGCTACGAAAATTATATAAATGAGTACACCTTTTAGCAATTTGAAGTATTGTAGTATTTTTTTAAGTATTTTTCGCGGATATATAAATTGTGTTATGTCAATTAGTGTAATGTCTAGCATAACATGACTACTAAAATAACACCAGCCAAATGCCTTTCTAATAACGTCGGAAACTGGCTCCGACTTTATGAACATTACAGCCAGATTACAAATCATTTCACATATAAAATCAATCACGTAAGCTTTTATTGTCATTTCTACTATTGCAACGGTTAATTGAATATTGACTGGATCGCAATTTTTTAAAGTCATAATAATATATTTAAATTACCTAAGGTTAATTATATTCATTATAAAATAATAATACAATATTATTTGCAATTCTAGGAATGTTTATCATCATAAGATATAGAGTCACACTGAAAATATTCTCTGCAATTTTGTGCGTGGTATTTATTTTAATTTTTCCACTCTAAAAAATAAACTGGTGGTGTATAGCATCGTGCCATAAGACAAATTGCTGGAACTTTCCGTACCATAAATAAACATTTTTAAAGGCTCAGAAAAGAAAAATTATTTTTTTTTTTAGAATTTTTTTGAAAACTAAAGTTATTTGATTTGTTTTTGTTTTTAAAAATTTTGAAATTTCTTGATAGCCATTTATATCGGTTGGTTTAAATTACAAAATATTTTATTTTCGATTGCCAAATGGCATTTTTTAAAGTTTTTTTTCTGTATTTTCGAAACCGCTGGACCTGTCTTTGCAAAATCTTATTCAATTCTTCATTACGTCAATACAAGTAAAACGTTATTTGAATCATTCAAATCGGAGCTCCGTTATTTCAAAAACACAATTTTCATTTTTTGCACTCTTTGCTCAGCAAACTAATCAGCACGTCTCCTTATCAAAAGGAATCGCATGCTTTTCGAATCATTCAAATCGGTTGAGCGGTGCTCTCGAAAACGCCGACGAAAAATTATGTTTATACATACATACGTACTGCATCCATTTTTTCTAAGGCATGCCAAAATGTTCAAAAACCTTTGAAACGTAAAGATATGCAAACATTTTAATTTTGAATTTTTGGAAAATTATTATAACTTACCCTGCGGGAAGTTAATAAATAATTTGTTAAAATGTAATATTTACAATACTTAATGTGAGAATATACGTTAGTTCTGAATAATAAATATATTGTATTTATTATATTTTAGAATCAATCGAACAACTTAATCATTTTCTAACCAGTTATAAAATGCAAATCAATTAGTTCTACTTAATATCAAATATTTATATGATAAAATAAATTTAATTTTATTGATTTTAAATATTTTTTTAAAAAAGTTAGATTTGAAATTGCTTGTATTTGTCATTCAAATCGGTTGAGCGATGCTCTCGGAAACGTCGACGAAAAATTGTGTCCATACGTACATACATACTACATCCATTTTTTCTAATGTATGCTGTTTAAAATGTTTAAAAATCTTTGAAACGTAAAGATATGCAAACATTTTAATTTAGAATTTTTGGAAAATTACCCATAACCTACCCTGCGGGAAGTTAATAAGTACTTTGTTACAATGTAACATTTACAATACTTTGATATGTGAGAATATAAATAAAACGTTAGTTCTGCATAATAAATATATCGTATTTCTTATATTTTAGAATAAATCGAACAACTTATAGCCAGTTATAAAATGCAAATCAATTAGTTCTATAAGCCGCAACTGATTGAAAACTTAATCAAACATTTACATGATAAAATAAATTTAAATACTTAATATTTTAAATCATTTTTCATAATGTTAAATTTGAAATAGCTTGAATTTGGCATCGTTAATTGTTAGTAATCAAGTTGTAATCCGAATCATATACCAAATTTTCTCAAAAGGTGAGAAACTGTAAACTAGTACCTATACCTATACCTAATTGTAGGTGCATAGAGTCCAGTTGCGCGCGCTGCTAGCGGAACTGGCGGGAGAGTGCGTATTCCTCTGGATATAGGCGGCCGGTATCGGCTGCTCAGCCAGTATCACAGTCGCTTCGCAAGCGAACGCATCTTAAGAGATCGTCCTGATAACTTTATCTGATTTTAAGCGAACCGCGCGATATCTTTCAATTTAATTGGGTTCTCCACACCCTTGTGAAGTTTCGATTTGATCACCTAAAACTGTCAATTATTTTCCATAATGCTTCTCGCAGATGAGCTCAAAAAGTGTTTCGTATATTTTTTTAACATGTCGCATCGTCACGATAACGATTTTTAATTTGTTTATATCCAATGACATGGTGTTCAAATAGTTCGGTTGACAAATTTCTTCGTTAGTGTTTAGTTGTTTTTAAAGTGCAAGTTTTATGCTGACGCGAAATCTCAAGTGTGCTCGACTAAATCTTATAGAAAACAATACAAAGATAAAACAATTAAAAAAGTGTGTTGTTAATTGAAGTGTAAGGTGACATCATGGCAACAAATATTGTTGAGTCGGCGATCACCGTCATTCAGATTTTGACGTGGTTTTTAACACTGATCCTTATTTTGGAAAATGGGGTCCAGGCGAGAAGGCAATCTCCGCTCATGGTGGAAGAGGATGGTTTCAGGAAGAATCATAGAGCTGCAGGTTTGTGGAAAACAATAGTAAAAGTAATACAACTATCATGTATAGCATAAGTAAAACCATCATGAATATTATAAGTTATCATACATTTTTTTCACTATAACTTCATAAATATTCAATCAGGATATTTCTCTGACAATTTTATTTGAAATTATTTAAACTTTCGTATAATACAGTTGAAATTCCCAATTTTATTTTTAAATTTTATTATTTTTATAGATACATCAAATTATGTTTTAACAAATTATTTAGTAATATTTGATATAATAGAGTATATTATGAATAATGTTATGATTATTGAGCACCCGCGACTAAGCCTACTTTTTTGACTATTTCTTTATTCTATGAGACTATGAGCGGATACTTTTAATTGAAATTAAATTTGGTAAATATTTCTCTATATAGTTGCATTTCTTAATTTTATTCTGAAATTCTATTATTTTTATAGAGACATCCAATTATGTTTTAACAAATTACACGGTATTTACTTTATTCTATGAGCCTGTTCTTTTACTTGATAATAATTTTGTTAAATTTTCGTATAATTTAGTTCATTGCATTGCTTAATTTAATTAACTTAACTCTATTATTTTTATAGAACGAAATTAATGTTTTAACGAGTTATTTAATTTTATTTATAAAATGCTTAATAGAGTATATTTGGAATAATGTTATTCAAAACTCCTCGCGAATGAGGTAACAAAGTTTTTTTGTGTAAAACAATTTTCTCTATTGATGTATTTCACTACTACCTTTCAAGTATCGAATCTAGAATTTTTTTTAAAAATTTGTATGATATAGTTGCATTTTCGAATTTATTACTTACTTACTTTATTCACAAATAAATAGAGACATCAAATTATGCTTTAATAAATTTTTCGAACATTTAATAGAGTATTTAATAGGAATTATGTTATTGAATACTCGCGAATAGAGAGATTTTTTTTTTTTTTTTTTGAGAAAAACTTTTTTCTCAATTCGTGTAAGCCGCTTCTAATTTAGCACACGTCAAAGTTAACGTTATAGATAACAACTAATATTTTGAGTCACATTTTAGTCTAATGTATAAGGTATAAGGTTTCTAATGTATATAGAGTCGTCGATAATTACATGTCGCGTGTCTTATTGCATTAATAATTATGGAATTGAATAAATGTTCGAAGAACGTGACTGATCTACATCGCATCGCCGGTGACGTAAGTTGACTTTTAACTTGTGACTCTCGACAGTCGAGTGGTGTATTATGGATTGTGAACAAGCCATAATGATAAATTGTACCTTTACAGAACCGCGAGCGGTTTTGTCACATACCAATCTCTGGATGCGACGACAACCGCCGGTAATATATGGTATAAGGCTGTTTTTATGCCGTACATGTCACTCATCCGATATCAGTAATAAAACTAAAACATTAGCAAAATCTCCGTTAATTAACGAATTTAATAAATATTTGCGTTTGCTGTCCTCATAGCTATTTGTGCTCCATTCTGTCGTAAAACAGAAAATTCTAATAAAGCATTCTTCACATTGTTATATATTTCTTCCATTTTTTTGTCGTTGGAACCCGACACATTTTTAGTTTTTAATGTTCGTGTAAATAGCACTTTATGTTTGCCCAACTTATTAGACAGCGTGCGACACGCATTGTTTTTTTGGTCTTTGTTTACTTCACGATGGGCTATTTCGATCGGAAGAACGGAAAAGTTATAACATTAGAGAATATTATATTTTGAACAACTGGTTTGGATACATTATTATCAACAAGTTAATTGTTATGTCAGTCATATGTGCCTGACGCTAAAAAGTGCTGCATAAGCTATGTCAGGCATATATGTCTAGTACGAGAATAGAAGCTCTAATAAGAGCTATGTTAGTCATATATGTGCCTGAAAAATAGCGTTTTCCTAGGAATTTTTGGCAATTTTTTTTTTTTTGTTCATTAGATTTTCTTGATGCGTTTTTAACTAAATTCTACTGTTTCTAATATCCAATGATTGATAATTGTTATTAATTTTAATTTTAATTAACGCTTAATTATTTTTTAACAATGATCTTATTCTTATTATTTCTCAAAATCATTTGTTCCTTCAATTTTCTATATAATTTCGTATTGCGCACAGTGATACAATTTGTTTGTGTGTTAATCATGTGCTTTCAATGTATGTACGTATTTGAACTTGAATTTATCAGTAATTATGAATTTTTAAGCTGGAGCTATTATTAATATTGAATTATCTAAACGATTGTTGCTAAATATAACGCAGCCATAATATTGTAGTGTTGTTATATAATCACCTGAAAAAGCGAACAACAAATTGTTATCACTATCTTATCTTGAAGTGATTATTGTAAACTGATATGTGAAATTACATACATATATAAATGCATATATATATATATATATATATATAAAATAATCACTTAAGGGTTTTGGTTGAAAATTATTATAAACATTTGTCCAATTTTAATTTAATTTAAAATTCTACAAACGCGTACATCTTGAATCTGCTAATCTCTTTGATATTGCCGATCTACCACATTGATATTTCTATTTATATCTTACAAATGTAAGACAAATTTGCGTTAAAACAAATTTTATCTATATTCAAATCATTAATACTCGTACGGACCCAAATTTATATGCAAATAAACAAGTATTTTATCAGTTTTTGAATAAGTTCTAATGCCTTACAGCTATTTTTAAACGACGCAAGTTACTCACACTTACACAAGTGTGTAAGACGGATATAATATTACGAATTTTTATACGATTTGGCCACAAAAGTACTGTTTATGCAAATATTTTTTATATTAAATAATATTTTAAACTTTATATTATAGTTTTGTTTCCACGTACTTGTTCTTTTCTCATCAGTAATATTTGGTTTGGATTAATACCACGTCGGTTTTTTACTTACACTCATTGCGCGGTAACTTTACCAGTTTATCTGAGTAAACATTAAAAATTAAACATCTAATTTACAGATATCAATATATTTTTTATGATGCATGCGCATGTATGTATGCGCCTCCTAAAATATCTATATTTGGAATGTGTTTAGTGGCTTTTAAATCCCGCTACATGTGTAAACATCCGCGTTTTAAAGTATGTTATGTTTAATAAACATCTATCCCTAACATCTAAATAAGTTTTAATTGCTTTCCTTGGTTTTGAAATCGGTTTCTTTATGATTAGGTACATCGTATTCTAAGAATTGTAGATTATAATTTATAATAAGACCTCGAGTAATTCTAATTTTATCAGTTATGCTTGGAGATAATAATGTTTCTTTATATTTATTAACCTGTTAAAAGGCACGTTCTAAAGATCTTTTGGCTTTGTGACTAATGTAAGGCCGGAAAAAATCGGATTTCCCCAGTGTACCAGATGGCTATGACTTTAATTCCTTCTCTGCAATTTTATATGCACGCAATAACTATACAATCGTTTTGTATATTTGTTTCATATTGTTCCCGAATTACTAGAGATGCCCTTTTTGCGAACAGCAATCATTTTTGCCTGCCTTCTGCTACCTCTCATAGGTTCGAGGAGTCGAAGGTACATAGGCCAGGTGTTGGGAAATCCCAAGATACGGAATTTTGCAGAAGAGATTTTGCGCTAGTAGGATTCCTATAATTTTATCTTGAGCTTTACCTGTTTAACAAACATGTAATAATTTAATAAGCCTTTATATTTCTTCAAACAACCACTGAGTACCTGTTAAAAATCAAAAGTTGACTTCGGCGTTATTTCAATAGAAAACATTTTAAGAATTATTACAATTTTCATAAAGTATTTTTGGCAATCGTGGCATTTATTCCATTTAATAGATGAAAGATTTGTATAAACTGAGGCGTTAAATTTGGCACGAAGAAATTATGTTTACATTACGTTATATATTACAGGAAGACGGTTGAAGGATTGATTATTTTATATTCCGCTTATAAATAGAAAAATTCACACAAGTCTAGACTCATTCTATGGGAAACAAACAAAGAGATATTGTTTTTGTACAAGTGAAACTTTAATAATTTTAAAAAATAAATAATATTTATTAGTTAATTATTTTAATTATTTATTATTTTAGTTAATTTATTTAAGTTAATATCATTAATGGTAATTTTAATGTACATTTCACTTTTACTATATTGAATTTTTGTTATATTATATTGAATGGCAAAAAAATTATATAGTTACAAATAATATTAATTACCGGTAAATAAAACTTTAGCAAAACCATATATACTACAACAAAATTGATTTTTATAATAAAACATTGTGACTATGTCCATTTGAATTAATTTTTTAAGATTCCGGTTGCCGGCCCGAAATCGTTAAAAAAATCCTAAAATACTTTATTCGAAAAATGATTTATGCATAACGTAATAAAATGTGTTGGCAAATTTTTCGCGCGTCGAATTGCCGCTCAGAAACAACAAGTTGTGATTTGAAACGCAGCCAGGTGCAACAGCGTTCGCATTTTCTTATGGATGTTCTTTGGCTTCTGAAGAAGTTATGATTTTAGATGGTGCGTGTGTTTTGAAAACAAAGCGTGACGATAGAAGGTAAATATACATGGTCCTTCGCACGTCCTTGGTTACCAACACTTGGCTGAGGGAATTTAACTCGTAGTAAAGTTCTAAGTTCGAAAAATGAGAAAGACATGAATATATCATTTATTTGTTAAATTCTGAATTGATTTTCCGTGGGTTTTCAGAGCAGATTCTCTCTTGCTGAAGATTGTTGCTTTAGTTTTTTCTTTTAAATAGAATTAATAATTTTAATATCCGCCACATCCGATGGTCCCCGCATTATCAATGACAATGTTAAATATATGCAATAAACTGTCGGTACCGTGCCGCTGCGAAGTCGCGGCATTCAGTCATTAATATCATAACCAGTATTTTGAATACGTCGTTGATCCAGTTCTGGTATAAATAATATAATGTGCAAAGGCATCGGTGCCTCAGGGAGACGCGCACGGCTTCATTATCTCTGTGAC